GTGTGTGTGTGTGTGTGTGTGTGTGTGTGTGTGTGTGTGTGTGTATGTGTGTGTGAGTGTGGGTATGTCTGTGTGTATGTGTCTTATTGTGTGGATGAATGTATGTGTATTGTAGTAACTGAATAATATTATAGTTAATGCAAAATAAAACAATGAATTCGACGGAAAAAAGAGGGTTAGCTATGACAAATTTGAGCTCTAAGGGAATATTTTAGCTGCCCTAACAACTGTGACAAAATCTCACAAAAGTTGGACAGCCTATTTATACTAGATGACATTTATCTTATGACATAGCTAACAAAAAGTATTAATTGACTCTTAATTTATCTCCAGTACACGATTGTAAAGTGACAACTTAATAAAGATAGACGTCTGCTTTTCTCTCCCCCCCCCTCCTTTCCACCCTAACTTGATCCTCAACTACCACTCCTCCTCCACTCCCCTTCCAAAAAAAACAACAACAACAAACTAACCAAAAATAATGTGTCCCGGTTCCATTTACACCATGTGGTAAAATGTCAGTGTGAGAAAAAAACAAAATCAACAACAGCCACAACAATAACGATAACAACAACCTTATGGCAGTGAGCACATTCGTAGCATCAGCAGCAGTCCGTAAGTTGATATAGCGACGGTAGCACAAGGGCTCTAACTTCTGAGCTTGCGTCTCTTTGCGAATGGTCGCAACTACACAGGGGAGGAAAGGAAATCTTATTATTGAGGGATAACGGTTTTTGTTGTTTTCGGTAGTGGAGTTAGTGTTGTTGGTGTTAGTGGTGGTGGTGTTGGTGTTTTGGGGGAAGGCGTAACATGCTACTGATTAGTTTTGTTGTTATAGTTATCAGCGTTACCGTTGCTGTTGTTGATGTGTTTGTGTGTGTGTGGTAGCCTATCCGTTCGAAATGTTTGGAGCCCCTAAAAGCGTGCCTCTTCGCCTGGGCCACTGCTTCTCTTTGGTGTCGGGTGAGGCAGTCCAACCTCCCTGAATCCTCCCCAAAGAGATGCCACCGCCGGACCTCCATTGTGGAGCATTTCTGCAGCCAGTGCTCCAAAGCTTGGGGCTCCTCGCTGCACAATGGACAGATTGGGTCCGATGGTTTATTCTGGGTTTTTTTAGGCCCACAGCCCAGAGAAGTGACCTGATTTTTGCCATTAATGACTGGTCACTGCGGGACTTAGTTTGAGCCTCTCCTTTTAAGGAAATTGTCCTGTATATTTCCTTCGTCCGCGTGTGGGATATTGGAGGGTCTTTTGTGATCAGTTTTATCTGAGCGTACGCACTTTCATATTATGTAATTTGCCGGCCTGGACCCGGCAGTGCTGTTGCCAGTTTGGCATTACTCTCAGCGAGATCGTTGCCTAGGATATCGCAGTGACCAGGGATTCACTGAATCGTGGCATTATTTACGCGTAACTGCATTTGACCGAGGGATGGTGATGTTCCCACTAGTGCCATACATAGCGATTGACTGTCAGTGAAGATAGCGACCGAGTTGGATGCATCACACTGTTAGTCGATCCAGTCAATGGCCATTTGTAAGGCTCTCCTCTCTTCCTCGAAAGAGCACATGAATATGGCGTCTTTCTCCTTCAGTGTCTCGACAATGGTCGGGTTGGACGGGTCCCCCGTTGCGATGACGACCCCAGTGCCGATATCCGTTGTTCCTGCCCTAGCCGAGCCGTCAGTGTAGATATTGTACTGTGCGCCAAGCTCTCGTGCTCGACGAAGAGCAGCGCTTCGGATCTTCACACTGTAGTCACTCCTTCTGCGTATGCCGTAAAGGTGGTGGAAAGTGATGTCGGGGTTGATTTCCCGTTTCCACAGCCTAGTTTCGAAATAAGCAATGGGCTTCCTCTCTTTTTCCTGGCGTCTTAGGCCCTTTTTGGGAAATCTCTGCGTCCCGTTAGGCGTCTGTGCACTTGTTCCGTTGCTGCAATTCGTCAGGGGTGGTCGTTGTTCATTCGCAGGGCCTTCTCTCTTGACCGGAGGTAGTTTGTATTGATGGTGGACTCCCGTTTCAGCTCGAAGTGCCTCGATCAGTGAGGACTGGGCTTGGGTGGTGATCAGTCGCAGACATCTGTTTTGAATTATCTCCAGCTTATTTATCTGAGTTTTGTTCATCCACGGTTGCCAGCTGCTACACGCAAAGTTGAGGATACTATGTATAATGTGAGGTAGACCTTGCGTAGGTCGTCTTTCCTTCATCCCCATTTTGAGTGCACGACAGCGCCGAGCATCCTCATCTTCTGAGTGGCATTAGCTATTACTGTCTCAACCTGTTTGCAGAACGGGAGCCTGCGATCGAGTGTGACTCCCAGGAGTCTTGCGTAGGGCTCATACTTAATTGTCCAACTATTGATCATGATGCATGGCTTCCATTCCGACTCAGATGTTGCGAGCGTGAAGAATGTTGTCTCGCTCTTCGAGCGGTTCAAGGTGAGTTTCCATAGCATGCTCCAGTCAGCAACGGTGTCCACCGCTCTTTGTGCCAGACTTTCGGCGTCTCGTGCAATGCGGGATGAAACGAGGATAGAGACGTCGTCAACGTAGAGTGAATGTTTTAGATCATCCGGAAGTAGTTTCGCCAGTTCGTCGATATAAAAGAGGAAGAGGATGGGATACCTCTGTCTAGGAGGGTGTGGAGTAGGCGTAAGCGCCAGACCGTGCCATGTGCCTTTGAAAGATCGAGGAGGATGTGTACCGATTTCTCCTTATTTTGGAAGCAATGGGAAATCTTCGCGCAATTCTCAGAATTTGGTCTCCCACACCTCTTCCCTTCCAGAAACCACCCTGCAGTTCGGAGAACCAGCCGTTCCCCTCGGCCATGTCGCACAGTCGTTCAGATGCCATTCTCTCCATAACTTTGATGAACAGGATATGAGGCTTATCAGTCTAAACAGTTCCAATGCTGGTTTGGCAGTCTTGAGGAGGGGGACAATGATGACGTCTCTCCAGACTTGTGGGACATCTGCTGAGCGAAATAACGTGTTGAAAAAGGAGAGCAGTTTCTCAAGCGCGTAGGACCAAGGTGACAACAGTGAGTGATGATCACGCCCACAGACAGCCTTCTGTGCTCCTCTTTATTTGTGATGTTCCTGACTGTTTTAATTCCTGGATATTTTAAAAAGTTATACCATCATGTGTTTTAAGTTTCGGTAATTAATGTGGTTGATTTTGTTTCTGTTGCTGATTTCACTTCTGTTGTTGACGTTCGGTTTGTAAACTGGACCAAACGATGCAGAGGCACTCTCTCCCTCCCTTTCCCCCTCTTTCTGTTTCTCTCTCTCTCTCTCTCTCTCTCTCTCTCTCTCTCTCTCTCTCTCTCTCTCTCTCTCTCACACACACACACACATACACACACACACACTATCTCTCTTTCACATACACAAAGGCACACACACACACACACACACACACACACACACACACACACAGACACACACACACAGACGCTCACTCACACGCACAGACACACACTCACACATTCTCTCTCATTCACGCACACACACACACACAAAACTCTAGTACTGACACACACACACACACACACAGTCACACACATACACACACACACACACACACTCACACACGCACGCACTCACACAAACACACAAATACACACACTAATGATATTACAAGCATACCGGTGACGTCACAGACAGCGGCCATGGCGTTCTTGACTTCCCTGCCTTCTAGTAGAAGAGCTCTGGTCGCACGGTTTGCTGTGGTACAATAGAGAGCAGCGTTTCAAATGTGGTACCACCGTAGAAGGTCCAGAATAAGTTGAAAAGCAAAACAGACGAACAATGAGGTGTGTCAAATTCTACACACAAGACAAACCCTGCTGAATGAAAGAAAATGTAGGAAAATACATTTCTAAGGCCACTTAAAACCACACGAGACCAATGTAAAAGAGCTGCTTGGAAGAAGGGTGAGGGGCAGTAGAGCCACGGGAATACAAAGAGTAACTTGGACGTACAACATAAAAACATAGACTGTCCTGAATAAGACAGAATGTGCAATGGCCGTTCGCGATCGTGAAAGATGGAGGGTCATTTCACGTCAACCTCTGCTGAGGCAGAGATGACACCTCCAGGTATTGATATAATAGAGAGTTTAGAGGTAACAAATTAATTGTAGTCAGTCCTGGAGGTGTCATCTCTGACTCAGACGTTGACGTATAGCGACCTCCATCCTTCACGGTCGCGAGCTGCCTTTGCAGATTCTACTATACCCAGGCCAGTCCATGTTTTAATATTGTCCACCTATGTTACTCTTTGTCTTCCCTTGGCTCACTTGTCCCACATCCTTCCTTCTCGCACTTTTTTCACAATGGTATAGTGTAGTTTAAAGTGCCAAAAGTATTGTTTTGTAGTCAGTGATATCAAAACTATTGCAAATATTTAAGCCCCTTTCAACAACGTTTAGGCCATTGCCTGTCAACATGGGGAGGGAAGGGGGTGTCGCTTACTAGTCGAGGAAAGGGTAATTTTGGTTGGTAGTGGGCATCACCCGGTTAGGTTCAGGTATCATGTGCAATGCATCTATTGGAAGTCCATGTCGGTGGGCAATGAGAAAATGTTAGCTTCGTAGAGGTGACAAAAGTGGGCACTGGCTTATGAAAGGATGAAAAACTGATTTAGATCAAATAGGGCACAGACTGTTCTCTAGTGGGGTGCTACGTCACAGTACACAGACTGAGATGGCGACATGTTTCATTGATACTGTCATTGATCCCATAAGGCACGAGGATTGTAGGGGCGGTGAATGACAGAACGCCTTGTCATGTGTTTTCACTTTTCACGGTTTTTTTTGCGAGCGCCTGAGTTTGGACGAAGGATTTCCCTGTCCACTCCGCAATGTTGTCGGTCCACCTCTTCCTTTGCCTTCCTCTCCATCTCCTCCCCTGCACAGTTCCTCGAAAAGTGGTCTTGGATAGGCCACACGATGTTGTTACATGGCCATATCATTTCAGTTTTCTTTGCGAGCTTGAGTAAGGTTGACAAACACTGGTTCAGATCTATAAAGGCACAGTATGCTCTGTCGTGGTGTGCCACGTCACAGTACACAGACTGAGATAGCATAATGGCCACCGATTACACAGTGGCATGGTTTTAAAGAAAATGTTGCTTTTTTGTGTATTTGTTTGTTGTCTGTCTATTTTTTTCCGAGTCTGTTGTGTTTGGGGGTGGATGGGAGTTGGGCGGGGGGGGGGGGGATCTATGGTGTTTATTTATTTACTTTGTGATGAGGGGGGGTTGTTTGGTTTTGTTTTGTTGTTGTTGTTGTTTGTTTGTTGTTGTTGTTGTTTTTTTTTGTTTGTTTTTGTTTTTTCAGGGGGGGGGGGGAGATGTTGTTGATGCCTCTTATTTTGCTTTGAAAAAATTAGTGGTTATCATTTTCGTTTTGAAGATAGGGTTTCGTAAAAAATTAGATCCATACACATTAAGTATAAAGCTGAGAAATATATCATATTGACCAAGATAATAAGAAGTAATCATAAGAAATGTTGGTATTTTAAATGAATAAATTGAAAAAATAAGCAGAAAAGAAACACAATTGTGGCTTCTGATTGGGGGACTTTTTTTTTCTTTCATTATTTTTCCCTTGAGGGGAAGGGGGGGGGGGAGGGAGAGTTAATCTCCATTACATCAATGATCTGTGGCACTCACCACTGAGCGGCATGCCATTTCTCACCTTGTCTTTGTACAACCCTCATAACAAAAACAAAAAAGACCAAATTATTTTGGAAAATAAAAGTAATGAAAGCAACAGTAGATAGGAGTACAGATAATGTAAATGAACCAATGTTTTAATATAGGTGCTTTACTTCCTTGTCAACAAAATTTAGATAGTTTAAAAGATGGGTTTAGACCCTACATATCAGAGTCAACTCGAGATGACAGGGATACAACATCCCAACAGAAAGACAAGGCCGAGATATTCAATAAAAATTCTCTACTCGCGGAAATTGAACACGGGTTCTCTGTGTGCTACGGGTGTTGGGGGGGGAGGGGGGGCTCATCTACACCACAGTCGCCGTTTAAAAAACAAAAGTAAATAAGCAAGAAAAGAGAAATTAAGCTAGCTACCTTGAGTGTGGAGTCTTTTCAGCTCTGCCGTTTCCCTGTTCAGCTGATCAATATATTTTTGAAGTGCTGCTATTTTCGCCGTCTTTTTTCTGTGAAACATATAAGAGCTGCTGAAACATTGAATTTTATCCTAGGAGAACAAACAACCTAACCTATAATTTTTCGCCTTTTAACGATTGACCTGGCTTCTTCTTTAATTGCGTGTACAAAAATACAGTTTGTGAATTATTCAGCTGTTTGGTTTCTCTATATTATTATTAATATTATTTATTTTATAGGAATAGTTTACAGGTATTGTTTCCTGACATTTTCTGTATGGACATGCCCTGCTTTCCACAACGCAACCCTGCTGAACAAAGCCCACTCACAGTAACACTGGAGATAGCAAAATTCTAGAATGCCTTAATTTAATTTGAAAACAAAATTAAGTACCATTGTTTAATATTTTATTTTTTAGAGAATCTGATCGCACTGCTCTGCATTTAGCATTCTTCTGTTTAGTCATATTCAAACTTCATGAATGCTTCATGGATGCAATCTTGACTGTTAATCAATTTTTATTCACAGCAAAATTAAGATCCTGGCGTTACTGAAATGTGCATATTATAGTCTTTGCCTACACTGTGACAGTTCTTGTAATAGAGACTACTTCTGCGTTAGCCCAATACGTGTATGTACGCATGTTCACGTATAACTGGGAGGCACCGCAGTGAAATCAAGCATTAGTCCAAAATTTTTAATCGGAGAAACCGGCATTTTATCGCCCGTTTGGCATTTTCATCATTTTTTTTTAGGGGAGGGGGG